CCTCTTAGGAAAGGGCTGCATCTCCTCTGCCCCTCCCTCTCTCGCCGAGCCAAAAGAGGCATCGGAAGTCCAATTTTCCAAACCACACTTTGCTCGACTGCATGAAATCCAACAACTTGTGAGCGACTTCACAGAGCCCTGCCTCAAGCAGGGCCTCAGGAGGGCCCCAGGCAGGCCCCAGGCAGGCCCCAGGCAGGGGCTTTCGAGTGCAGGAGCCACTCACCTTGGCGAGGCCCGCGCGGTGCGCGCCCTGCGACTCCATGTAGGCCACGTACTTGCCGAAGTTGCGGAACTCCTCCATGCTGGGCCGGAAGGTCATGATCTTACAGCCGGGGTTCTGCGGGCTGGGCGCCTCCGACCCCATGGCTCTGGGACGGCGGCTGCGCCTGAGGGGGAGCAAAGAGGCAGGAAGAGAGGAGAGAGGCAGGTTTAAAAAACAATGGTTCGAAATCTTTGTTTTCTTTCTGCTTGGTTTAATGAACTTCGCAGGAAGGCGAGGATACATTTTTCATCTCTCTCCACCATTCGCCCGAGGAAGTATTTGTAAGAACTATCCTCTAAGATGGACACAGAGAGCTTCTGACCAAAAATCCCCTCGGAAACTTGTCAGCAGGGCCCCAGCAGGGTCAAGTATCAGGGAACTCCTGACACCAGCACCACCCGAGATCAGGCAGGGCCTAAATATAGACCACAGAGCTACCGTGGCCCCCGCACGCATCCTGTGGAGCCGTGTCTCACCAGAGCAGCCCTCACCACCAAGCCTCCCACCACCCAGCACCTCCTCCGTGTGCTGCCCTCAAAGTCTTCCACCAGAATGCTTCAGCCTTTTCTGTATTTAGCTACCAAACCAACAGCTTTGGCCAATGTATTCGCTACTATGGTTTTTTCATATGCAGGGCGACATTAAAAACGATAAATGAGGTTTTTATACATAGCTTTATTACATTTCAATTGTATTTGCAACATATTTAGACAAAACAAAGCATCAGACAATTTTTAAAAGCAAGGGAGATGAACAACATCAAAATGACTTTCAAGGTGGAAAGGAAAAGTTGCTCAGCTTCCTCAGGGGAAAAAAAATTCCAAAATAATTCAGGATGAAATTACAATTTTTAAAAGGGATCTTCATAAGGTTATGCTGGAAACAAAAAAAGCAAACAAAATGTTTCAGTGGTGTTCCAGTCACTAAGATAACCACGGGAACATTCTCCATGTCAGGAGAGCAGCCTCGGCACGTACAATATTTTCGAGCTATCACGAGAGGGCAGCATGAGGCTTTCAAGCAACAAAAGGTGCACAAACACCATGTCAAATGTGACTTCTGAACCACCAGCAAAGCATGTTTGGGTTTGAAATGCTTTCAAACTAGCCAAGAAACAGCCCAGATGCTACTAAGAATATTCTCTGCATTAGGGAAACCCAAACAAACCAGAGAAATATTGTTATGGCATGGCACAAAACTCACACTGCTCCATAAACTGGGGATACTGGCTCCTAAAATTAACATCACACACACTTACTTGGACACACTCAACACCCAGGGCAGCAAGGTTTACTTTATAATTTTATCTGGGTAAATTTTTTTTTCCATTTCAAAGGCAAATGAATAAACTTGACTTGGAATTTTAGAACATAGAACATTTCAGAGTAACCTGCATGTAAAATTTGTTTCAAAACAATGGCCTGCAAGTCTTAAGCCTTTCCCCAACAGAGTCTTTGAAGGAACTTCAGCCTCTCTCATCCTCATCCTATGCCCCAGCATCTGCCTAGTGCCTCCTCAGCCACAGCAATGTCCAAAGGGCTCTTCCCAAGCCAGGAGACAGTGATACAAGGCACAGTCCATAAAAAAACACCAATATTGCATAATATCCCACAGCAAAACTAACTGAGGAAAAAGTTTCACTCCCTTCACCTGCAACAACTGCATTTCCAGCAGAAATTCTTGCAGTTTTAAAACAAGAAGGCCCTTTAACTAACCCCTCCCATCTGAGAGTGGCCCAGACCAAAGAGATTCCTTGCCACACAGAAAAAGATTGTTAAGTTTCAGGGCCAACATTTAAAGATAAGAAGCATACTTCATTTATACCCACAAGAACAGTTACTACACAAATGTTTTGCAGGAATACAAAAAGAGAAAACAGCATCTCCCAACCCCAAGAGGAACCACTGATAGCTCCAGGCATCCATCTGCCCAAGAGTTTCCTCCAAACTACTATGAAAAAACATTGCTCACCAGGACAACACGGCTGATCAGAGTCAGGAGGACAAGGAAAGTCACTGTTGGGAGAAGCAGGACGCGGACAGAAACCATCCCCAAACTTCCACTCCGATGCAATCTTACTGAGAATACTTCTGCTATTTTTAAACTGGGTCTAGAAATGCCACGGAAGTTCACGGAGGGGGAAGCACCAAGTCGGGCTCTGTCAGCTCTCTGCTGATCAGGAGGAGCTGGCTTGGGGAAAGGAGCTTCAGTTCCGCCCTGAGGAGGGACCCATGCCAACACCATCTGCTCCAGGGATGCCTTCCCAGTATTTGCAGCTTTAGCCACAACCAAGGGGAAAAATATATTAGTCAAAGTGAGGTTTTAGTCTGTCTTTTCCTCAAAATCACCCCCAGCAATTCCAATTTTTATCCAATGAACTGGGAGTGGATATTTATATGCTCCAACAAGGCAGGGGACATCAAAGACTACTTCACATAAAGCTTAATCAATTAATTAAAGGGTCTACCTGCCTCAGCACAAGCAATGTCACTCAGCACCCTGAAACTCTTTAGCACAGACACAGCAAAGCACAACAGATCTTTCCTCAGAACAAAGAGATGGGATTAAAGGTGAACATCTTAAAACCCAGTCTAGGTAACATTTGCTGCAATGTGTGTTCACCTAACTAAACTAATTAAGCTATTAAAAAAAAAATAGCCACAGAGCACATGGGAAAGGAGAATCAGTTCAACTCTTTCAGCTAGAAAAGTGTCTGAAGTCCCTCCAGCAGTCCCAAGGAGCTCAAAACACCCAAACCACAGGGAAAACTTCAGGAGAAACTCATTTCTTTCCTACTTTACACACAGCAGCACTGATGTATTTTGGATAAGGAGTGGTGGTATTTAGTGCTGCTCCTTCCCAGCCCCTGGTATGAGGGAGGCCAGGGCAGCAGGACCAGCCAGGCCACGCTGCAGCTTCCCAATGGGATTTTCAGGGGTCAGCCTCAATTAAACAGTGCTCTAATAAGCTCGCCAGCATCACTGAGGAAGATTTCACAGCAGACTCAGACTATTCTGAGAACACTGAAAGCATTTTTCACTCCCAGCTCTGCCGTGCAGCGGGGTGAATGGTGACAATGTGAACCAACTCTTCTCACTATCAATGCTGAAAAGGATGATTTTGCAGAAAGAGTCTGAGCTCCCTATTAGTTCTTGAAACGAAGCATTAAGGTATTTTTCCCAGCTGGGAGCATTCTGTTTCTTTGTGTGAGAGTCTAACACCCTGAAATATTATGAAAACCTCCTAATTTGCAGCTGTGCTAAGGAAATGCTAGAACTTGTGTCCAGAGGGATGATCTCAGCAGACACAAAAGATCTGAGTTTTAATTTCAATGACTTTTACACGAGCCTTTTCCCTCTAAAATTGGTGTGAGCCAAGACACTTTGGTGAGTGAAATGCTACATACCTGTTGATCAGAACCTTTGTACAGCAGAGAAAAAAGCTCAAGGAACCCAGCTGAGATCAAGAACTCGTGCCTGCTAAAGGACTTACAGAACTGGGAATCCTTCCTCCAGGGAAAGATTTGGGACTTCCAAGCAGTTCCCCGCTGCTCCCCGCTATTGATCTCGGAGGAGCGGATAATGCCAACTCATTTTTCCTCACTTTTGAGTCAAGGGGTAACTTTGACTAAAGATAGTGACTGTCAGTGGGAAGGAACCTGCCTTTATGCAGCAGCACTGGTGCTACAGACTGTACCTGAATCCTGTACCTACACCCAGGGCACACACCTACAGATGTAAGGCAAACCAGTCCTGCCGGTTTGCTACGAACCCTCCGTTATCAATCTGGATTTGAACACTAAAAACACAGCAGAATTTATGACAGGACTCACCTTGTTTATACAGGAACACTAGAAGACCATCTTTAATCTCGCTAAATAAACTTAAATGCTCTCTGGGATTATTAGGTTCTTTGATAAAGTAGAACGTGTGTCTGTACCTTCTGAGCTCTTTAAAAGTGACAGCAGGTCTAAAGGTAAACTTCTACCCCAGTGACATATGCCCTGCTACCTTACAGTGTAAGCAGTGCTACATTACACTGTATAAAACATTTGCAAACCACTTTTGAACAACTTGCTGCCTCCCCAAAGGCACAGTTTTCCACCATCAACCCCAAAAACCCTCTTACTGGCTTTTTGCCAAAGGCCTTGAAACCACACAACCAAAATTCAGAATGAAGGAAAAGGCCCTTTGGAACATATGCCTACAGCAAAAAAAAAAAAAAAAAAATAAAATAAAATAAAAAGGAGAAAGCAGGCATTCAAAATCTGGTAGACAAAACCATTGCACAGAAACCACAAGGAGCAAAAAGAACTTTGTGAGAAGACCTGCAGCATCCTCAGTGACTTCACAAGATTTCACTCGGGCTGTGCTGGAAGGGGCTGAAAAGACACCTGGAAATATCCTCCTGAGCACCTTTCACAACATGCTGCCAGCTCAGAGCTGAAAATACACAGGTTAGCTTGACCAGGCTGGTGGTGGGTACACATGCTGGCACTGCCATCACACCCTGCTGAAGGAAGAACCACCACAGCCATCAAAATCTCACAGCCCCAACAAAGCACTGGCTGCAGTCTGAAGCGAGAGGAAATCTCACAGCAGTACCAACTCGGAGAGCTACTGAGCTCCCATCCACGGCCATTTGTTCTTCTCCTGTGCCAAATATGATGATTTGTGGTGCCACAGTGCAAGAGGATCGGGGAGCTGACTCTGGTTACACTGCTGTGCTCTCAAACAAGCACGTGGTCGCAGGGGTAGGACTTCTACAGCAATAGGGAAAAGCCACCAGCTCAAACCATGGCCTCAGTACACAAAAAAAATTAAATTCAAACATCTAAGACTTTTTTCTAAGTTTATCAGTGGATTGAACTTTTCTAAGAGGCACAGTGATAAGAAATTCTCCTTCTATAACACAGTCTCTCTTCCCCAAACAGGAGAGCTTGCTAGCTCTGAGTAAACTGGAGTTTGTCCACACCCAAAAATGGCTTGAGGGTCATGGTGTTCTCCAATCCAACTGTCCTCTTCCTACCAAAGGCTGAACCCACTAACTCTTAATCTAATCAATGCCGACAACAAACATCCCTGCACTTGTAACACCAGTAAAACTGTTGTTAGTGGTTAGG